GATGTTCATACAGTGAACAGATAGAGTTCCAAAATCACATATATCCACATAATGGCACACAAAATCATATCAAAACATATAATCACATACGTATTAGGGACCAATTAACATAATACAGGACAGGGGTATCACATAATCATTATAGGAATTTGTTAAAAAACATGATTTTGAAATGTGATTTGAAATTTCAGGGACAGAATTCTTTAAGGGGGGGAGGTTATAGCGATCCTAGTTTTCACCCGACTCTTGTGGTATCTCGGACTTGGGTTTAATGCTTTCAGATTGTTGTTTACCTCTTTCTTCCTTTGTATGTCTTGGAAATTGGCTTTTGGGTTGTTGTGATTGTGTTTGGGCAGGTTGGTCGCTAATTTTTCAAACATTGTGTTGCCCAGAATTTTGCTCCTCCGCTCGAGCAACCATTCTTGCGCTCAAGCGGGCCTTGCAAATTTTACTCCTCCGCTCGAACGACACTTCTTGCGCTCGAGCGGGCTTTGCGAACTCTCAATACTTTACAGGTCTACAAAACTACTGGGATAGTGTTTTCTACGCTCGAGCAGCATTTCCTACGCTCGAGCGGGTGGTCGCTCAAGCGTTGATTTGTTGTCTGCAAAACTTCTGGATGCGTGTTTTCTACGCTCAAGCGGTAAGCGTTCGTTGTGTCTTGGCACTCGAGCTGCCTTTCTTGTGCTCGAACGAAACAGCTTTTTTGTGTCTGACGCTCGAGCGTCAACTCTTCCGCTCGAGTGGACGGTGCATATATTATATCGTGAAAATGACTTTTTACATCACTTTTTCAGATCTTTTCATCCTAAAACCTAGAGTTGAGACCCTCTCTCTCTAAAACACACTCTCTCTACTTTTTTACCTAGTTTTAGTGGTTTTGCCACCCATCCACCTTTGTTAAAGAGATAGAGCATCTCAAGATCTACACTTTGATCCGAATAGAGTTGGATTTTGGCATCTTTGAGGTTTCTCCCTTGCTTTGCTTGGTGTTCTCTTATTGAGGTAGGGATTTTCTACACTTTAATATGGTTTTTAACTTAGTTATTTGTCGTTGTGTAACAGTGGTAGGATTTGGGGGTGATGTGAACAAACTTAGGGTTTGGGTATAAAATGGAAAGAGGGGTTTTTGGTGAACGAAAAGAAAATGATTGTGGGGTTTGAAAATGATGTTGTATGATTTGTTACATGGTTGATATTTGGGAAAAGAGAGAGTTTTCCCTAAAATGATCATGATATTTATTTTGTATAAATAAATGCAATCGGTGTTGTAAATATGAAATTGGACTAGTATTGAAATAGATTATGGAATTAAGTAGGTGATATGTCTCATCTTTGGAAATTTTGAATAATTTATCTATCTTGAGATTGTATATCAGTTTAGAAATATTTGTATTAGGCTATCGGTGGAGGATAGCTATGACTGTTATAGAAATTGCATGAGGATTAAGTAAATTAAAACTAATCCATGGTTAGTTATCATTGAATATGAACATGTTGTAAATACATTGTATATGTATGATTATTTCGAAGGAGAAAGGGGATGTACTCCATATGTGACTATGTGTTTAAATACCTTGCATGTATATGATTGTTTGGGAGGAAAAAATGGATGGACTCCACTGTTTAGGAGGTGAAAGGGGATGGACTCCATTATAATTAAGTTAGCCGGAGTGTGCTGGGTGAAAGTCCCGAAATTTATACATGGGTACTGATCCCGCGGACAAAATTTTTATAAAATGGAAAATTGAAGTATTTGTGTGTTAATGGTGTGATTGTAGAACCATTGAGTTGTAGTTTCATTGGGGTTATTGAAAAATGATGAAATTGACTCATGTATTGAAATGAATTGAAGGAAAGTAAAATGAAATATGGACTTGGTATTCTATGACTATATAAAAATGTAAAATGTTTATCCCTAGCATTGTATATGCACATTACTCTTATATCTTTGTTAAATCTCATATATTGTGTTAGATTATTCCTACTGGGCTGTGGCTCACCCTATTTGGGAAAAATATTTTCAGGTATTGATGGCATGCCTCCACCAAGGCAATAGCATTGTAGGGACTTTTGGGAAGCAAGAGTTTCTTTATTTTGTTTCATTTTTGTATAGCTTAGGGCTTTAATTGTATGAGCTAGTTTTACTTTTGTTGTAACCAAGTCAAGACTTGGAAAGGTGTAAGCCTTTAAGACACTTGTTTATGTCAAACTCTTTTGTATTATTAACATTATAAAATGAAAAGACTTTACACTCTGATTCATGCAATTATTTATATATATTTGGGTTGAACTTATGGTTATATTTTGGGAGCGTTATAGTTTTTGAAAATGAAAACAAAAGAGAAAACACAATTAAACACTTATATATATACACCCGTAATTGAAATTTGCCCAAATAATAATTTTTTTTTTTTTAATGCCCCAAATTTTAAATTGGCCATTGCTAAAATGGTGTTAACGTGCACAGTGTTAACTCATGTAAAAATTAATGTCACTCAAAATTAATAAATTTTATAAATTTAACTTTTTTATTGCAACTTACCACATTATTATCATGAATCATATAAATATATATATATATAAAGGTCTTGACTTATGCGATCAGCTAGTTATCCGTTTGGTAAGTTGGTTTGTGGTTATTTTAGTCACAAAAGACAAAATAGGTTATTTTAGTCTCAACAAACAAAACATCACATCTAACCCATAATTATTACACTCTTCTCTCACAAAAAAAGTTAAAAAAGCCAAAAAGTCCTTCCCAAACTAAGCTTTTTAGCCAAGGCTAAAATAGCCAAAAAAGTCAAAAAGTCAAAAAACCAACCCACTTCCCAAACAGAGACTTAAAGTTGAATTTTCAAAAGTTAGAACACCCAAAGTTTTGACTATTTCAAGGTTTCCATATTCTTATTCTTTGCCTTATTTTTATTTATTTATTTTCTGGTACATCGGAAATGATTATTCATTGCCTTTTGATGAACTACGAATGTTGACAACAACTGCACACCAATAATAATAATAATAATAATTATGATAAGAGTAATTTTGCTAACATCTCCAACCACACTCTTTATTTTTCACTAGCTAAAGTATAAAAAAATGGCACTCTTTATTTTACCTAATTAGTTTAGCTATTGTGTGTTCCAACCATACTCTTTATTTTAGCTAGTCATTCAAACTAATTTAATCAATTTTCAAAACAAAAAATGCTATATATATATATATTACTCTTTTTCATAGAATGACACATATGCACCTACTCTCTAATATGGTTGCCAATGTGACATTTGCGATAATATTTTTAAAAATAATATTTTTTAATATTAGTTTTAAAAATATTATAAAAAATAATTTTAAGTAATATTTAATTTTTTTATTATAAAATTTATAGTATGTGAATACATTTCAACATATGAATTTGGTGGAACCATCTTGAAAGGAAGGGAGGGGAAGAATAAAAGAAAACAATAAAAAAAATTTAAAAAAAATAACAATACAAAGGAAGTTCTTCAATAATTGTAATTTATCAAATTAAGAACCGAAAGAACACAAATTAACTAATCAAAAACCTTACAAAGGTCAATGAATAAATAATAAATAAATCATAAATATCAAAGTTAGGAATAAACTTCAAAATAAATAAACTATTTCTAACACCAGTTGTTACAAATCTTCATGTAGATGCCACAAATGCTCAACTAGGTCTGCGTGGAGTTTAGAATGAGTTTGTCTATCTCTGATGCGATGATGATTTCGAATGAATTCATAAAGTTCAGGTGTACGCTCGTGTGACACTGCTGGAGGGAGAGTTTCATCGATTGCATCATAATTACAGTCTATATTTTGTTCATTTCGCTCATCCTCAACAATCATGTTATGCAATATTATACATGCCTTCATAATAACTTTAAGGGTTTCAACTTTCCAAAAACGTGCAGGTCCTCGCACAATTGAGAAATGTGCTTGGAGCAGTCCAAATGCTCGTTCGACATCCTTCCTTGCTGACTCTTGAGCCTTAGCAAAATGTATTTGCTTATTGCCTCGTGGAGATGGAATTGTTTTAACGAATGTTGACCATTGAGGATATATACCATCAGCGAGATAATATCCCATTGTATAGTCATTTCCATTGATTGAGTAATCAACTTGGGGAGCACGCCCTTCAGTAAGGAGAGAAAATACAGAAGAACGTTCTAACACATTGATGTCGTTATGAGATCCCGGTAATCCAAAAAATGCATGCCATATCCATAGATCATAGGAAGCCACCGCTTCTAAAATAATAGTTGGTTCATGGATATGACCACAATACATACCTTTCCATGCAGTAGGACAATTCTTCCACTTCCAATGCATACAATCAATGCTCCCCAACATTCCAGGAAACCCACGATTTTTTCCCACCTCTAGTAATTTAGCAATGTCATCTTTGTTTGGTGCCCTCAAGTACACATCTGAAAAAATTGCAACCACTGCCTGAACAAACCTTTGTAGACTTTCTATTGCAGTGCTTTCTCCAATCCTCACATAATCATCTACAGAATCGGCCGCTACTCCATAAGCGAGCATCCTCATAGCCGCTGTCATCTTTTGAAGGGAAGACAGACCAAGAACTCCAATAGCATCTTTCTTCTGGACAAAATAAGGATCATATGCTTCCACCATAGATAAAATACGAAGAAAGAGATATCGACTCATCCAAAACCTCCTCCTAAATAAATTGGGCGGATATATAGGCGTTTCAGAGAAGTAATCTTGATAAAGTCTCTTGTGGCCTTGAATTCGATTACAATAAATAACTGTATGACCTTGAATAGAACCACGACGTAATCCCAATTGCCTCTCATTATTTAGCCGCTCTTCTTCTAAAGCAGCTATTGCAAATATCTCCAATTCATTATCAGAATCAGAGTCATCAATAATCATCTTCATTACACTATTGCGAGCCATGGAAATTAAAAGAAGAATGAAGCTGAGTAATAAGCAACTGAAAATAAATATTAGGTTGTGTTTTGCTTCTTAAGCTTTGCAAGTTTCTGCCTAACAACTTCAATTTTCTGCAAAGTCAAATTTATAAAACATATCAAACAACTTCCAAAATCAAAACACCAGCAACTTACATAATCTGTATTTAATTGATCAACAAATAGAAATGTCCTGTAAATAAAAATCACTCCAATCCAACATACAATAAGAATTATATTTAGCCATGGAGTACTTCAGCAAGCATTCAACGAGAATTCCACTCAGTAATTAAATTACTACTACTTTAACCATTCAACAATAGGTAGTTCCAAAAAAAATTTAACATATAATAAATAATTCCAACATAAACTGCATAAAAAACATAGTTCTGCCTACAATGGAGAATCAATGTCCTAAAGCACAGTGGTAGATGGAGCACTCACAACAATATATATGCATGCAACAATAGGCACGTTAACACACATTACCCTATTTTGCCGATCACAAGCACATAAAGCCAATAATGCACCCCTTTTCATCACAACACAAATATGAAAATAAACTACACATAATTATCACATAACATAACCCCGCTTCGTCAAGATATAACTAACACAACCCACTTTTTGCCACTTTTTTTGGTTTTTGTTTCTTCATGCTATATTCTTCTCGCCATTTTTGTTGATCTCTTAACTCATGCCTACAATGTTCAAATGGAAATGACGATTTGTACAACTCTTTGTATAATTTCTTCGCATCAAGAATCTGAATAATAGATAAAAGAACACTAATTATCATGAGATTAGACAATTCCAATGATAATAAGTATAAAAATCTCAATGGCATTAATACCTTATCTTTTTCAGTCTTTCCACTTTGATTCAACCTTTGGATTTGGGCGAAGCACCCACTGAACTTATTCATGGCAAGTTGAATTGCTGACCAACGATTCATTAAAGAAGTTTGACTACGATTAGATGAAAACGTTTTGTACTGGTGGAAATATTCCCACACTCTTAGCCAATATGCCTTTGATTTTTGTTCATTCCCTTGCACTGGATCTAAGTTAATGTTAAGCCATGCCGATATGAGCATACTGTCTTCTTCTGTAGTGAAGTTGCCACCTCGTTGTGGTTTCTTGGTGGTTTCTATTTGAGGAGAGATTGGGGAAGACTGATCCCCTTGGTCAAGAGGTTCATTCATAAATTCATAATCAGTCCCATCATTCATCAAGTTGGTGAAATATGCATCATTTTGTTGCTGACTCATCTATAGACAAGGTAAAGAAAATTATGGCAACATATATTGGGTTGAAGAAATAACTAACATTCCCAATTGGAAGCAAATTAATTAATAAATGGAGATCATGTAAATTAAAACACTAGTTGTTTTGTTGAAAATGATTCAATGATAATTTTAGATAAATAAATGGAGATCATGTAAATTCAATGAAAAAGAATTCAATGATAGTTGCAACCAACTCTCTATCATTGATAGACAACTTAGGTATTGGGAATATTATTTGAGTTAAGAAGTTTAAGATTCCTTTTGTTTCTCGTGTTTGACATTTCTTTTATTTAATTCTATTTTGGTTACTTTTTTCTCGTCAGACATTCGGCATAAGAATGAAGGCAATACAAATTTGATATCTAAGATTGGCTATCCCTATAAGAGACTGTCCCTCAGAATCGGAGACTAATAAAGCAGAAGCAAAGAAAACAAAAACAATTTAGTAGCATGAAAGTATGAAACAAGGGAGATGAATGAGTTCAAGCCGCTATATTGATATTATTAAAGAATTGCAAGAAGTGCATAAGAAAACTCTCTATACATAACAATATACAAATATTAGTTAGAGTAGTTATGTTCTAAACATATACAAAAAGAAAGGGTCAACTATCGACTACCTGACAATCACTCATCACCAATAACAATGTAATTATGTCAATTTTGAATAATTCTAACCATAACTAGGCATGCTGAATGCAAAATCAGGAAAACGTATACGCTAAAGCTGAATAAGATAACTATTAAAGAATTCTATCCTAATACAGAACTTAACACTGCATCTTTTAATCCAAACAGCTATAATTAAGTCATTCACATGCTTAAGGCTAGACAAAATTAACTCTAATTAAAATAACAAACAGTATCCAGGATCCAGCAGCCTCTGTCCCATTCAAGGGTGGCAGACAGAACCGTGTAGTAAGCAAAGGATAGAAGACACGGGCAGTTACCGACCCAATTTCAGTAGGTTAACGAAGTGAATTTTAAATGCTTGTTTGTTTTTAATAGAGTTTACATAAGAATATGGTATGAATGATGTAAAAAGAAATTTAATAATAATAAGACATCTTTGTATATAGGCTTCGTTTGGGAAGCTAACAATGTTTTTATTTGTCCACTTGGCTGCTAAGAGCTAATTAAAGTTTCATGTTAGTAATGGGCGCCCATGTGGCATGACCATTTGAATTTGAATTTGAACCTTATCCAAATAGGTTTTGAATTGAATTCAAACCTATTTAGGATAACCACTCAGGATACAGATATTATCAGTTTTAACTGATATGGATAAATAATAATAACATATTATATATCTGATATATGGTTATGGGTAATTAAGAGAGAAACAACGTATGATCTGTTTCTACCCATATACTGACTCTCTCCCAAAAACAACGATAAAGTCTTTGGCACTGTGATTTGTGTGGGTGATATTCAATCTGTGATATCACTTCACTGCTGGGTTGGCTTATCAGTTTCTGGAAGCACATGATTTATCCACGAGGTTCTATCATCAAAAAGGTATGATCTAAACATTTTATCCGCTGCATGTTTTGTGTTTTGATTTACATTTCAGTTTTTTGGACTCTCTAGAGTGTCTTTGATATATTTTTAGTGAATTTTTAATTATTTCGCAAAATCAAACTCGCTACAATTTTCTCACTTTCACATGTTCTTGATAAAAAGCAAACCTTGCCCAGCAAATTTAGTAGACTCCAAAAACTCTCAAAGTTATCACACTTCATATAAGAATAATTTATTTGACTAAGAAACAATTATTTGGAAAATGATGTGTGGATATCATTTTTCATTTTTTACTAGGTACATTGAGTTGGATAAAGGATCATATTTAGCTTATTAAATGAGAATTAATGGGTAAGGAATAACAATTTTTTAAAACTAATATACACTCCATGCTTATTCCCACATTTTTTAGGATCTTCAATGTAGATCAGTTCAACATGTGGAGTTTTTAAAGAACATGTGGAGTTTTTAAAGAACTATCCATGTCTCTTCCCCACTTTCATTCCCATTTCCATTCCCAAACTCTTCTTCCACTTTATATTCATAATTTGAGCTAGTCATAATTGGGAGTAAATTAATGTCCAAGTTGAAAAGACATCTTCCCCAAGAGGGACACTACAATGTACACTATAATATAAGCATGAAATATGAACAATCCAACAAGAGTAACACTACAGTCTTAGACTTTGACAAAAAGATAGCAGATCTATAAGCATATCTTTTACATAAGAATGAAGCTTGAAAGAGTCCATCAACACTCTTTAAGAGATATCTATTAAACTGGGCAAGGCATGTGCGAAGTGCACCTCAGTCAATACAACAATGACAGCAGATCTTTTATGTCAAAGCAAATCACAATACCCCATCTTCACAAAATTCTATCTTCTTTCTATGCTAGCATTTCATTAATTTTGCATAAGAATATAATTGGAGCACCTCTTTAGGAGAGGTCAAGGATTCAAGTCAATTAAAAAAAATAAAAAATATATAACGTTTTGACTTGTAGGGTTGGACTTGTATGCTCTGGTTTAATTTTTTTTTGTTCTTTTTTTTTCTTTTGGGTGCAAACTCTGTTTTGAGGTGGTTGTGTTTCTTGATAGTTTGGTCTCATGGGGGTTTCAATTCAAATTAATAGGGTAAGGCCAAGAAAATGAATTCCTATTCATGAGGCACTTAAAAAAGGGTTAATTAGTCCACCTAACAGTCTTACTCCCCACTGCCCAGGGGCAATTAGTCAATGCCATGTTGATCATTCATGTTAAAGAACAACATTTTTGGGGAAGCTTATGAATTCCATCTTTGTTATGGGAAATTAGCATTACCAGAGTTAGCCAACACCGAATCATTTTTTCCCCTGAGTTTTTGCTAACCCTAGTTGATACGGTGATAATCATTTAGATCCCCTTACACGAAAAGGTTAAAAAAAAAAAATTTTAAAAACCAACCAACCAACTCTTCCCTCCTAAATCATGAAAATTTATAATTGCATTCCAATTCAACAAATTCCCAAATTTTATATTTTGCTTCTTGGTCAGTTGTAATTCCAAAAAGATTTGGAAATTTATCTTGTAATTTCACCTTTTGTTAATTTCCTTGGAACATATTCGTCTGCAATGCACAATTCAATTTTTCTCTTGGTTTTCTTCCTTCAGACTGTAAAGTATCTGATTGCCCCTCACTGTTATCTACATGGCGCATGGGGGTTGTTGGCTGGCACGTTCTTTGAGATTTTTGCAGCCCTATGCTTTATTATATATACTTAGTTTAGTCTGTGTGATGGAGCAGTTTAGAAGTTAAAGCTTGTTTGAAAGTTAATTAGTGGGATTGTGGGTGTGTTGGGGGAAGCTCATCATACGTGATTGAATGAAGAAGGCTAAAAGAGCACTTGCATTGATAATATTTCGGTCCTGTCGTGTTCAAAAGAGACAAGATACAGCTTGAACTGAGATTTAATCACCATAGCTAGTTGCTTGTAATGTATCATACATATAAGTATTATGTGCATATAAATGTGTTTGTTCATGTGCTCGTCATGTTCGAAAGATGCATGATACAGCTTAAAGTGAGACTTAATCACCACTAGTTGCTTGAATTTGATAATGTGTCATACGTATGGGTATTATGTGCATCTAAATATGTGTTGTTCCTGTGGTTGTGAGTTCTCTAATGGTTTTAATTACTTACTAGTCCAGATTCTTGTTCTGCATTTGAATAGCATTCTCATGATCTTTGGTGGTTTTAAATCATGATTACTCAACACTCAATATGCTTGCTAGATGGTAAAAAACTTGGTATTCTATCATTAAAAATAAGTACAGGATTCAAGCCAACAGGTGGGATTCTAAAGTGATTAACTAGAGAAATTCATGTGCTCCTCTCAATTGTTGGATTTATTCTATGATTTAATTTGTTTCATGAGGATAAAATTCTTAGAATATGTAGAATTAAGGTCCATCTTGCAAAATCATTCGCAACACAAAAACACAAAAAACAAAAACAGAACAGTAAAGTATCAAGGTATGCTTGAACTCACAGATCAGACAGACGATGCACATATAAATTGCATACAAATTGTAAAACCAAGAAAATGGGAGAGACCCAGTTTACAGAGGAACAAGGAAAGTTTGTGCTATACATATATATATATATATATATATCTAAAGAGAGAGAGAGAGGGTTTATGAGTTGCATAGAAGGGGAAGACAGAGAGATAGAAGGATCCATACCTTGAGGAAGAGGTCAGAGGTCGATGGAGGGAGTTGCAGACAACGTTGAAGGAGAAGATCGATTTTGCTGAAAGAGCAGATCGATTTCGCTGAAAGAGTAGATCAATTTCGCGGGAGAGACGTGTTTGGAGATCGATTCCGCGCTGAAGAAGCATATCGATTTCGCGGGAGAGACGAGTTTGGAGAGCATTCAATCACTCTCTAATTGAAGCCAGCGGAGAAGCCGTGAGGGAAAATAGGAAGCCATTTAGCCAGCCCGTTGGAGTGAGAATATTAGGCTGATATGAGCTAAAATAGCTAACAGTACCAATATACCTCTTGTAATCTAAGTGATTGTTGGACATGAGATGTTTGTCATAGGTCTCGTTTGATAACTTACTGTTTTAGTTTAAAAGTCAAAAAATCATTAAATTTTTTTAAAAAAAAATAATCTATATTAAAAAGTCAAATATTCTCTTTTTTCTCTTTACTTTTTGCACATCTTTTTATAGTACTATGCACAAGATAATTATAGATATTTAGATTTTTTTAAGATTTTTTTTAATATATAAATTATGTTTTTGAAGATTTTTTATATAAATAATTTAACAATCTCATCACTAACCACAATGTATGGGAAAAGTTAAAAAGGGTATTGTAGTAATTATGCACGGGTTGTATCTATAGTTATTTGTATGAGGAGATTTTAAATGCTAATCAGGGGATTTAAACAAAATCAAAAATTGCAGGCATGTG